ATACTTCCTATGTTGTAAGAGTAGGAAGTGCCGCTCCCCATCATAGATGTTGCCATTTGGATAAGCAAAAATGCAGGATATCGCATATGAAGAATATCCAACTACAAAGTCAACGATAACTAATATTACATGCTTTGTTCTTTATCACTTACTTGAAGAAACTGTTTCAAAAAATATTCATTAATACACTTATTGGTTTCTGATTTTCGACCAATCACACTGTTTGTTACAACTACCTAGGGTTTTAGCATCATTCACAAAAAACTATTTACGCTATGTTTACTTCGACTGGTTGCCAGAGTTACAAAAGTAGGACCCAGAAAGTGTTCTATATAAAATATAATCCCGCAACTGTACTTACATATACATACATGCATGTACATACTTCCCCCTCTCCCTTTTTTCCTCCCCCTCTCCCTTTTTTCTCCCTTTTTTCCTCCCTCTCCCTTTTTTTTTCCTCCCCCCTCTCCCTTTTTTCCCTCCCCCCTCTCCCTTTTTCCTCCCCTCTCCTTTTTCCTCCCCGCTCTCCCCTTTTTTCCTCCCCTCGCTCCCTTTTTTTCCTCCCTCTCCTTTTTTCCTCCCCCTCTCCCTTTTTTTCCTCCCCTCTCCCTTTTTTCCTCCCCCTCTCCTTTTTTCTCCCCCTCTCCCTTTTTCCTCCCCCTCTCCCTTTTTTCCTCTCCCTCTCCCTTTTTTCCCCCCCTCTCCTTTTTTCCCCCCTCTCCCTTTCCTCCCTCTCCTTTTTCCCTCCCCCTCTCCTTTTTTCCCTCCCCCTCTCCTTTTTTCTCCCCCTCTCCTTTTTTTCTCCCCTCCCCTCTCCCTTTTTTCTCCCCCCTCTCCTTTTCTCCTCCCCCTCTCCTTTTTCCCCGCCCCCTCTCGCCTTTTCTCCCCCCCCCTCTCCCTTTCTCCTCCCCCTCTCTTTTTTCCCTCCCCTCTCCTTTTTCTCCTCCCCCCTCTCCCTTTTCTCCTCCCCCTCTCCCCTTTTTCTCTCCTCCCCCCTCTCCTTTTTCTCCCCCTCTCCCTTTTCTCCCCCCCTTCCCTTTTTCTCCTCCCCTCTCCTTTTTTCTCCTCCCCCTCTCCCTTTTCTCCTCCCCCCTCTCCCTTTTTCTCCTCCCCCCCTTCTCCTCCTCCCCCCTTCTCCCTTTTTCTCCTTCCCCCTCTCTCCCTTTTTCTCCTCCCCCTCCCCTTTTTCCTCCTCCCCTCTCCCTTTTTCTCCTCCCCTCTCCCTTTTTCTCCCTCCCCGCCTCTCCCTTTTCTCCTCCCCCCTCTCCCTTTTTCTCCTCCCCCCTCTCCCTTTTTCCTCTCCCCCTCTCCCTTTTCTCCTCCCCCTCTCCTTTTTTTCTCCTCCCCTCCTCTCCCCTTTTTCCCTCCTCCCCCCTCCTCCCTTTTTTCTCCTCCCCTCTCCCTTTTTCTTCCCCCTCTCCCTTTTCCTCCTCCCCCCTCTCCCTTTTTCTCCTCCCCCTCTCCCTTTTCTCCTCCCCTCCCCTTTTTCTCCTCCCCCCTCTCCCTTCCTCTCTTCCTCCTCCCCCCCCTTTTTCTCCTCCCCCCTCTCCCTTTTTCTCTCCCCTCTCCTTTTTCTCCTCTCTCCTGTTCTCCTCCCCCCTCTCCCTTTTTCTCCTCCCCCCTCTCCTTTTCTCCTCCCCCCTCCTTTTTCTCCTCCCCCCTCTCCCTTTTCTCCTCTCTCCCTTTCTCCTTCTCCCTTTTTCTCCTCCTCCCCTCCTCCCCTCTCCCTTTTTCTCCTCCCCCTCTCCCTCTCCTCCTCGCCTCCCCTCTCCTTTTTTCTCCCCCCCTCTCCTTTTTCTCCTCCCCCCTCTCCCTTTTCTCCTCCCCCTCTCCCTTTTCTCCTCCCCCCTTCCCTTTTTTCTCCTCCCCCTCTCCCTTTTTCTCCCCCTCTCCCTTTTTCTCCTCCCCCTCCCTTTTTCTCCTCCCCCCTTCCCTTTTCTCCTCCCCCCTCTCCCTTTTTCTCCTCCCCCCTCTCCCTTTTCTCCTCCCCTCTCCCTTTTCTCCTCCCCCTTCCTTTTTTCTCCTCCCCTCTCCCTTTTTCTCCTCCCCCTCTCCCTTTTCTCCTCCCCCCTCTCCTTTTCTCCTCCCCCTCTCCCTTTTTTCTCCTCCCCCCTCTCCCTTTTCTCCTCCCCCCTCTCCCTTTTTCTCCTCCCTCTCCCTTTTCTCCCTCCCCCCTCTCCCTTTTTCTCCTCCCCCTCTCCTTTTTCCTCTTCCCTTTTTCTCCTCCCCCCTCTCCCTTTTTCTCCTTCTCCCCTCCTCCCCCCTCTCCCTTTTTCTCCTCCCCCTCTCCTCTCCCCCCTCCCTTTTTCTCCTCCCCCTCCCTTTTTCTCCTCCCCCTTTTTTCTCCTTCTCCCTTTTTCTCCTCCCCCTCTCCCTTTTTCTCCTCCCCTCTCCCTCCTTCTCCCTTCTCCTCCCCCCTCTCCTTTTTCTCCTCCCCCTTCCCTTTTTCTCCTCCCCTCTCCCTTTTCTCCTCCCCCCTCTCCCCTCCTCCCTTTCCTCTTCTCTTCCCCTCACCATCCTCCTCACCATCCCCTTCTCCCCACAGTGTTCCAGACGGGCATGGTTGGCTACCCGGAGGCCCTGACCGACCCTTCGTACAGCGGGCAGGTGCTGGTCCTCACGTACCCCTTGGTGGGCAACTACGGAGTCCCGGATACCACCGCCGTCGACCCCCTGGGACTCTCCAAGTACGGTTCGGGTGTGGTGGGGGGTTGGGGTGTGTGTGGGGTGGGTGTGGAGGATGTTTATGGGGGTGTGGAGTGTGTGGTGAGGTGGGGGGGGAAGGTTTGTGGTGGTGTGTGGTGGGGGGTTTGGGTGTTGGGAGGTGGGGGAGGGTTGTGTGTGGGTGTGTTGTGGTTTGTGGGGTGGGGGTGGGAGGTTATGCGGGGATGTTGGAGTGTATGGTGAGGGGATGGGGAAGGTGTGTGGTTGTGTGTGGTGGGGTTTGTGGGTGTTAGAAGGTAGGAGTGGGGGAGGAGAATGTGTGTGTATTGGTTGTGGTTTTGTTGTTGTTGTTAGGTGTATGTATGTGTACGTGTGCGTGTATGATTATTCGTGTATATCTGCGCTTGTATTCATGTATGTATATATTGCGTATGTGAATAGGTTGAAGGTGTGTGTGTACGAGTGTGTGGTGTGTGTGTGTCTACGTGTGCACCTATGACTGTGTGATTTGTCTTTCCTGTTCCATCGGCCGCTATTTTGCAACGACCAAACGCAGGTTCAATATTTATGTTAGCATTTCGGATAAAATAACGCCAACGTTTTACTCTGCCTTCCCAATTCAATATATTTTTTTCGGAATATGAATCACCTATATTTGATAATAAATGATACCCGTCCTTATTAGATCATTTGTACAGAATGAAGTTATTGCTGCCGTGACGTTAATGACATCAGGGAATTGACCATAATTTTACTGATGCAGAATAATTGCTATTGATATTACTGGTCGTATTGTTGAGAGGCCTCGTTATACCGATATTGTTACTGGCGTTTGGTTATGGTGATGGCTATGGTGTATAGTGATGGTGAGGAAGTTGGAGGAGATGATAGGGTGGATGAGGTAAGGGGGATGGTGAAGGAGGAGGAAGAGGAGGAGGAAGAGGAAGAGGAAAAGAAGAGGCAAGGAGGAAGAGAGAGGATGAGGATGAGAGATGGGGTGATGGTGAATGAGTGATGAGGTGGTGGGGACGAATGAGGGAGATGGCGAGGGAGGTGAATAATGAGAGGTAAAAAGGAAGATAATCATGTAGATAAAATTGTTATGGTAAATGAGGGAGATAATGAGGCAAATGGTGAATGAGGGAGAGGTAGTTCTGATGATTGTGATGATAAATGGTAATGGATAATAGCGATTGTTGTGGTGACTGTGATGATCGAGATGACAGTGAAATATTTAATGAGAATATGATAATTTGATGAATAGCTATGGTGTGTAATGGTAACACAATGGTGTTTCATATGGCAGACGATAGTGACTTTTGCTTTACGAAATTGGTGACGGAATGAGGAATAGTGATATAGTTATAACAGTAATATTGTTTTTTTTCGTTCTCTTTACTCGATATCACCAAATTATCTTAAAACCAAATCATACATTAATATATAAAAATTGCAAAGTACCCTGTTAGTACTGAATTCTACATTAATATATAGAAAATGCCTCTTACCTTTAATAACTCATACATTAGAATATCACAAAATAGCCTCTTACAACTAAATCATTAAAATATCACAAAATTACATCTTAAAAGTGAATCACGCACTAAGAAATCACCAAAATAGCCTCTTAAATCTACCTCAAACATTAAGATACCACAAAATAACCTCTTAAAATATCCCTCTATCAAAAGAACCTAACACAGCACCTAACATCCCCCCTATGTGTTTGCAGATGGTTGGAGAGCAGCAAGATCTGGGCAGGAGGGCTGGTCGTGGGCGAGGTGTGCAGCGAGCCCTCCCATTGGTCCTCCGTCAATACCCTCCACCAGTGGCTCCTCGGCGAAGGTGTGCCCGGAATTCATGGCATCGATACCCGCTCGCTCACCAAGAAGTAAGGCCCGAAGGAGGGGTGTGTGTGTGGGGTGGGGGGTGGGGGGGGGTGGGGACAGGTCGTGATTTTTCGTCTTTTTTTGTTGGTGGTTCATGTGGTGGGTGGTGGTGGTGGTCATTGTCCTCTTCTTCCCTCTTTCCTCTTTCTCTTTCTTTTCCATTTTCTCATCCTCCTCCTTTTCCTTCACCTCCTCCCTTTCCCCCTTCCTTCACCACCACCACCTCTTCCTCTTCTTCATTCACCACTTTTACCACCACTGCCGCCATATCATCAGTCAATATCATAACTACTGTACTACTGACATCATCATCGTTGCTGTATTATTTATAGGTATCATAATTATCATTACCAGCAATATAACTGCTATTGAATTGTCATATTAATAAAAAAGTAATCATAATCATAGCCACTACCTCTGATTGCAATCATCAACAATACTTTTAATTCCTATTATAGCATCATTCTCATCATCACCATCATTAATCTCTCCTGCAGGATTCGTGAGCATGGATCCTTGCTGGGGAAAATCGTGGTCGAGGGAGGCGAAGATCCCCCTCTGTCTGATCCCAATAAAGTTAATCTCGTGGACCGGGTTTCGATAAAGGTAAGTGATAAAGGAAGTGAGAGATCGGTTGTGTGGTGGTTGGGAAGCGCGCGAGAGAGGAGCTGCGGGGCTGTCCGTTGCGAGAATGAGATTTTCCTGTCTTTGGTGTGTGATTTTTGCTCATTCCAGATCGTCCAGAGTCGTACTTCTGAATGATTTTCTTCCTGTTCGTTTTTCCTCTTCCTCGTCCTCTTCCTCTACGTCTTCCTCCTTCTCCTCCTCCTCTTCTACGTCTTCTTCTTCCTCTTCCTCTATTTCCTTCCTCCTCTCTTCCTCTTCTTCCTCTACTTCCTCTTCTTCTTCTCTACTTCCTCTTCTTTTCTCCTCTTCCTCCGTTCTCTTCTTCTCTTCTCTCCTCTACTTCCTCTTCTTCTTCTTCACGCTCTACTTCTCTTAACTTCTCTCTCTCCTCTACTTCACTTCCTCCTCTTCTACTTCCTCTTCTTCCTCTACTTCTCTTCTTCTTCTACTTCCTCTTCTTCTTCTCTTACTCTACTTCCTCTCTTCTTCCTCTACTTCCTACTTCCTCTTCTTCTTTCCCACTTCGTCTTCTTCTTCTCTTTTTGAAGCTCTCTTCGTCCTCTTTTTTTTGATAGGCCAAAATAACGCAAAAGGGAGAAGAAAATTGTATTTTTGCAACTGACAGTCCTGAAAATCTTCAACGATGAAGATTTTCGCTTGAGAAAATTGTGAGAATTTCTTCAAGCTTAAAGGTTGAAAAAGGGTTAGTTTAAAACAATGGATAAGAAAGGTTGAAAAATCGATTCACACGTTGTAGGAAAGCCTTTGATTTTGTCTGTATTGATTCGTTTTTTTTGTACTTTGCGTATAACTCAAATATACTTAAATTTCGTAACAATAGTAATAGTATTTTCTAATAATTCAAATCATTTATACAAACCTATAGTTGATGGCGATGAATGAAAATTTCCTCTTGTAGCGAAGTACAAGATAGGCTCCGCTGATAGAAATGGCAAGGTCAATATAAGCATATGCCTTTCAGCAGTCCTTCGAAAGCTCTTGACATGGTTAAAAGTTCCTCGAAAGTAATAATTATTAGAATATTTATCCGAACGCTCAGACACTCAACTGCCAGTTCTACTCCTACAACGTCTATTAAACTCTTATCATCCATTAACCCGATTGCCCACTTACAGGAACCTCGCGTGTTTAATCCTGACGGCGACGTGAGGATCATGGCCGTCGATTGCGGGCTGAAATACAACCAGATCCGCTGCCTGGTCAAACGCGGGGCCAAGGTGACGCTGGTGCCGTGGAATCACATCCTGGACTCGGCGCAGTATGACGGTCTCTTCCTCAGCAATGGACCAGGTATTTTGCTGGAGAGATTTAGAACGTTTTTTTGTTCCGTTAGTGGTTCGAAGTGAATTTATGAGATAAACATGGTATTTATTTATATGGATTTTTTTCTCTAGATTGTAAGTTTTCGTCATTTGGAAACTTTTTCTTCTTTTATTTATTTTCACTTGTGGTTCGAGTGATTTACGAGACTGGTATAATATAAATATCTTCCTCTTTTTTGTTTCTCTCGGTAGTAAGTTTTCAAATTTGCGTAAGGTAATGATGTGGTGATTATTGCCCCCAATTAGGTGACCCGCAGATGTGCAAGCAGACTGTGGAACAACTGCGGTCTGTTCTGGCATCAAGCACGAAACCCATATTTGGCATCTGTCTGGGGCATCAGCTGCTGTCTGTTGCGGCTGGATGCTCTACCTACAAGATGAAGTGAGTTCTTATAAAGCATGTGTTTTGTAATTTCTTCTTCTCTTCCTCCTCTCCCTCCTCCTCCTCCTTCTCCTCCTCTCCTCCTCCTCTCCTCTCCTCTCCTCCTCCTGCCTCCTCCTCCCTCCTCTCCTCCTCTCCTCCTCCTCTCCTCCTCCTCCTCCTCCTCCTCCTCCTCCTCCTCCTCCTCCTCCTCTCCTCCTCTCCTCCTCCTCTCCTCCCTCTCTCCTCCCTCTCCCTCCTCCTCTCTCCTCTCCCTCCCCCTCCTCTCCTCCTCTCCTCCTCCTCCTCCTCCTCCTCCTCTCCTCCTCCTCCTCCTCCTCTCTCCTCCTCCTCCTCCTCCTCCTCCTCCTCCTCCTCTCCTCCTCCTCCTCCTCTCCTCCTCCTCTCCCTCCTCCTCCTCTCCTCCCTCCTCCTCCTCTCCTCCTCCTCCTCCTCCTCTCTCCTCCTCCTCCTCCTCCTCCCCTCCTCCTCCTCCTCCTCCTCCTCCTCTCCTCCTCCCTCCTCCTCTCCTCCTCTCCTCCTCCTCCTCCTCCTCCTCCCCTCCTCCTCCTCCTCCTCCTCCTCCTCCTCCTCCTCTCCTCCTCTCCTCCTCCTCTCCTCCTCCTCCTCCTCCTCCTCCTCCTCCTCCTCCTCCTCCTCCTCCTCCTCCTCCTCCTCCTCCTCTCCTCCTCCTCCTCTCCTCCTCCTCCTCCTCTCCTCCTCTCCCTCCTCTCCTTCTCTCCTCCTCCTCCTCCTCCTCCTCTCCTCCTCTCCTCCTCCTCCTCTCCTCCTCCTCCTCCTCCTCCCTCCTCTCCCTCCTCCTCCTCTCCTCTCCTCCTCCTCCTCCTCTCCCTCCTCCCTCCTCCTCCTCCTCCTCCTCCTCCTCCTCCTCTCCTCCTCTCTCCTCCTCCTCCTCCTCCTCCTCCTCCTCCTCCTCCTCCCTCCTCCTCTCCTCCTCCTCCTCCTCCTCTCCTCCTCCTCCTCCTCCTCCTCCTATATTTATATATTTTCCAGTGTTATGATATACAGCATCAATGAAAGTATGTAATCTATGAATAACAACGTATTACACCGTATTTGTAATAGGTTAATTTAGTATCAAAATTTGTCTTTTTAGTAGAATATGCAAATATCTTCATTTCCTCAGGAGGTCCTCATGTTAAAAAAACACATTACCTTTTTCATTTTCAGCCATCTGTTTCCTCTTTCTACGTGTCCCTAAATCTTCGCATCCCATTTGCAGGTACGGAAATCGCGGACACAACCAGCCGTGCGTGCATGAAGGGACAGGGCGTTGCTTCATCACGTCTCAGAATCACGGGTTCGCTGTGGACGCCGCATCCCTCCCGCAGGAGTGGGCTCCCCTCTTCACCAACAAGAACGACAACTCCAACGAGGGCATTGTTCATCGCACTCTTCCCTTCTTCAGGTTTGGTGTGACGGTCTTGTGGGGGTGGTCTTTGGGTGGGGGTTGAAGGAGGAGTGTTCCGTTCGTTTTTTGAAGTGAAATGTTTGATTTGTTTTGTATGTGGGTGTTTTGTGAGATCATGATTGTGGTCATTGTAATACTACCTATCTGCAATTCGTTTTAGTTGTTGAATACTTTGGTTTTAAAAGCTCTCTTATTATTAACCTAAAAGAAGCCTTCCTTTTTTGTAATATCATGATTTTTTAGGCATATTTATAAATCTTTTGAACTGTTTAATTGTTGAATACTTTGGTTTTATACGCTCCTGTTGGCAACCTAAAAGAGGCCTTCCCCTTTTGCAGCGTCCAGTTCCATCCAGAGCATGCGGCGGGACCGGAGGATTTGGAGTCCCTCTTCGACGTGTTTCTTGACCTGGCGCGGCAGAGCGGAAGGGGCGTGACCAGGGAAAACTGGGACATGCCGAGTATCATCAACAGCCATCTAACTTACTCGTTCGTTTCGTTATACTTGTTTCAAGATCTGTCCTTAGTGAATGGGTGTTTGTTACTGAATGAGTGCTTGTTTCAGTGTCCCTTTTGTTGTTGAACGAGTATTTCAGTAATTTTTATGAATGAATGAGTTTTTGGCTTGGAGGTGCCGCATACTGTTTCGTAATGGATATATCAGAGAGCAATGATTTGATGTATATTATTATTCTTTTTAGAGAAAGTAAATTAGTTTCATACTATCTCGTGATCTGGACAGGCCCATCCCAGATGTACCCCAGGCTGACGTGGGTCGAGTTCCCAACAAGGTCCTTATCTTGGGCTCAGGAGGCCTTTCTATTGGCCAAGCTGGAGAATTTGATTACTCTGGTGAGAAGTTAAACATTTGCATCATCTTATATGGTACTGGACATCGTTGCGAATTGAAAATTAAAGGTCGTCTTGTGTACCATGTATATGCGATTACTGATAATTTTTGATATTCAGGTTCACAGGCAATCAAAGCAATGAAGGAAGAAGGCATCGAGTCCGTTCTCATTAATCCAAACATCGCTACCGTCCAGACAAGCAAGGGTCTTGCTGACAAAGTGTACTTTTTACCTATAACGGCTTCGTATGTTGAGCAGGTAAGGAGGACCTCACATAGTTTTTTTTCTGCAACTAAGAAGGATGTCTTTCTATTTTTGATTAGGCAAGAGTGATTTTTTTACTGTGAATCAAAAACGAAAACCAGACGATAGAGATATTTTAATTTTACTTTCAGGTAATCAAATCAGAGCGTCCAGACGGAGTGCTGCTGACCTTCGGAGGACAGACCGCTCTCAATTGCGGGGTAGAGCTGGAGAGAGCTGGCGTTTGGGCCAAATATGGGGTCAGGGTCCTCGGGACGCCCGTAACTTCAATCGTCCAGAGTGAAGACAGGAAGATGTTTGCTGAAGTCGTTGCTTCTGTGGGAGAGCGAGTGGCTCCTTCAGCTGCTGTATATTCTGTAGAGGAGGTAAGGAACCGTTTAGCGCAAAAGAAGTCTTTGTCCCTTTTCTATGATACATCTTACAAGTATCTAGTAAGTCGAAAGGACGATTTCATGTAAATACTGTATTTTTCTAAGTAACACAAACATTATCTTTATCATAGGCCTTAGAAGCAGCAGAAAGGATAGGTTATCCAGTGTTGGCTCGAGCAGCATATGCTTTGGGTGGCCTCGGATCCGGCTTCGCTGACACACCTCAAGAGCTTGCGAAATTGGCCACTTCAGCTTTTGCACATTCTAATCAGCTTATCATCGGTAAGTTCTAAGTGTGTGCAATTATGCTGGTGTACCTTTATGAATTATGATGTTGAGTCTTCTGTGGTTGATTTTTAAAGATCTCAGGTTTATCTATTTTTAGCTTAATGAATATGTATGGATGAGTTCTTTCATTAACTGAGTTTGCATATGTGATTCTAATATGCTGTTATAATTCTCAAAGAAAAGCTATTTCTGAATCTCAGATCGTAAAACATTAAATGAACTTTCCGATTTTAAATACATGTAGTTTAAGAATAAATGCATTTTTCCCTTCAATAGACAAGTCCCTGAAGGGCTGGAAAGAAGTAGAATATGAAGTTGTACGAGATGCCTTTGACAACTGTATCACGGTAAGTCATAGTAAAAAAAAAAAATTCTAGTATTGTTGGAATATATGTGGTGAAGTTTAACCAACTTAACAAATGTGATAATAAGCTTTTAGGTTTTACTGGATATAAAATGAATCTCATGAAATACTGTATATCTTATGAGGATATAATAATGATAGAATATTCCATTCTGATCACAGGAATATATCTAGAGAAACATTGATGGAGAAACGCCTATGAAAGGATTAGTACAGATCTAAGGGACTAAGTTGAAGTGGAGTTAAAGGAGTGGTATTAAAAGTCAAAGGCAACAAAAGGTTAAGAAGGGTCATAGAAGGAATCTTGATACCTGACAGATATTAACGCACATTACTGCTTTTGTTGTGACAATGCACTGATTGATAACGTGAAATAACTGGATTAATTTGATTTTGTAATTGACGTGAAAGTTGTTTGATAACGTGAAATAACTGGATTACTTCGATTTTGTAATTGACGTGAAAGTTGTCTTCAAACAAAATGGTTACAGTACAGTGCATATTGAGACTTCCATAATTTCTTATATTTTAAGTAATTTGTATCTTTAAGACTCATTTGCATCTTCAAGTCGAATGTGTATCTTCAAGTCTAAGAGGAATTAACATTTTTGTATGTATTTCTAATTCTCCCCAACTTTTGTGCTTCCAGGTGTGCAACATGGAGAACGTGGACCCTCTAGGTATCCACACAGGCGAGAGCTTCGTCGTGGCTCCGTCTCAGACCCTAACCAACAGGGAGTATAACCTCCTTCGCTCCACTGCTTTGGCTGTTATTCGGCGCCTCGGAGTGGTTGGAGAATGCAATATTCAGTATGCTTTGAATCCCACTTCGGAGGAGTATTATATCATTGAGGTGCGTAGTGGTGTCGGGGGAGGTAATATGAGGTCTTTTGTAACTAATGTATAGATTTTGTATTCGTGGAATGATAATTTATTAGACATTTGGGGGTAACTGTTGCTAGTTGTGTAGGTTTTCGTTGCGTATCTGCAGATTATGTTTCAGATAAGCTGTATTTAATTATATGAGGTGCAGAATTTTTTTACAGGTAGGTAATTTCTTTGTTCTTTTCATTTCCCCCAGGTTAACGCTAGGCTGTCTCGCTCATCCGCCTTGGCTTCCAAAGCGACAGGGTATCCTCTGGCATACGTGGCGGCCAAACTCGCCCTTGGGAAAGCCCTTCCAGACCTGACCAACTCGGTCACGGCCTCGACCACTGCCTGCTTTGAACCCTCGCTGGATTACTGTGTGGTCAAAGTGCCTCGCTGGGACCTCTCCAAGTTCAATAGGGTCTCTACCAAGGTGGGGGAAAAGGCTTGTTCTTTGGTGTTAAAACGTATGCGCAAATCCTGTAAGGTTGTAAGCTGGATATGTATATATACTTATTTTATAAAACAATTCCTTGAATAATGTATTTATATAGAATGCTTGTTTACTGAGAGTTATCTTGGATCAGGTGTTAATAGACAGCCCTAGATTTATTTGTTATTACTAGATTTATTTCTAATTAAAAAGGACGCGTACCACAAATCCTCCATTAATCTCTACACTGACAGATTGGGAGTTCCATGAAAAGTGTCGGAGAGGTGATGGGCATCGGCAGGAGCTTTGAAGAGGCGCTGCAGAAGGCTTTGAGGATGGTTGATGAGACTACGAGTGGTTTCGATCCCTACTGCAGTGAAGCAGATGAAAACGTTAGTGGGGTTTATTTGTTCAGTTCCTATTTCGTAATTTCATTTTTGTGCGTTCAGTATGCGTGTACTTTAATAATAAGGGTATAGATATTTGTATTTTCAGGACAAATTGTTTAACATATATTTTTATTGTTTTTTTGTGCATTAGATGTTAGAAAGGTAATAAAATATTGTTCATCGAAGAATCTCTTTGAAATGAACTGAGGCTCTGACTTTGAAACTTTTTGACGATTAGCAATATGAAAAATCTCATTAAAAGACTTAAATATTGGATACATTAAGGCCATATTATTTAAAAAACAAAACCCAAATGGTTTTAACAAAGGAGAGAGCTGATGGATAACTCCCTTAAATGTTACGCAAATGATTGTAAATACAGCTTATATCTCATTCAAGAAAATTCTTATCTTTTCTCTCCATTTCACAGGAACTCCAGCAGCCAACAGACAAACGCATGCTGGTTCTTGCAGCGGCTTTGAAGAAGGGTTGGGACGTTGAACAGCTGTACAACTTGACCAAAATTGACAAGTGGTTCCTCTACAAGATGAAGGTGAATTAGTATTTTTGTAATGATATTAAATTGGGACTGATTAATGAATGAATTATTTTTTGAATGAATAAGCTGTAGATGACTTTGGATAACAGATAATCCTAATGTACTGAATGATATTCAAATTATTATTTTGGGGAATTAATCGAAGAAATATTTGAAATATGGTTATATTGAATTTTCAAAGGATGAATTTAAATGTAGGGGAGATACGTATAAGAATCAGTACATTCACAATGCAGGAGATGTTCATTTAGATTCATACCTCTTATACATTTGCCACAATGAATACTGTTCTTTAATTTGAATATTATTATTGCTGCGTTTATAATGTAAGTCTGCAAAACTAGTTCTCGCTTTGCCTTTTTCTGCAGAATATCACCGATATGTATGATAAACTAGAGAGCCTCGCCGATGAAGAACTCACAGAGGAGGTGTTGCAGCGTGCCAAACAACTAGGTTTTTCTGATAAGCAAATTGGAAATGCTGTTCAGTGCACCGATCTTGCTGTGCGTGCGTTGAGGGAGAAGCACAGTAAGTAAAGAAACGAGTAAAATGAAAGCTTGTTGATTATAATACTTGTTATGGATTAACTATTTTTTCTGGTCAATTATATAACTATAGGCCTATACACTTTTTTGCTAGGGGACTGTTTGCTGGAGAAATGTCGTAAATAAGCTTGGCCAAGAGTTATATTTGATACATTTCTCCTTTATTATGAATTGAATTTAGTCATTTTTTGCGTTCATCATTGTTTTAAGCTATAGGGAAGTTAATTTAGTGTCATACAAATGTACAACTGTTTAATGCTGTATAATACGTAATTACGCATATCATAAATTGTTCAGCTATAGTAATTATGTAATCTATTTTGCAGACATCATGCCTACGGTTAAGCAGGTGGATACGGTGTCTGCTGAATGGCCTGCTGCCACCAACTACTTGTATCTCACCTACAATGGAAACACTCATGACCTTGCCTTCCCTCCCGGCGCCACTCTTGTGATAGGTATTCATTTTCCTATTTTTGTATTTTCATATTCATTGGTATTCATTCATGATCATTTTTTAGTTTTGTTTTGTGGCAAGGACTTTTATTTAAAAGAGGGATGGTTAGTTTGTCTTTTGTCCTTTTTGGTTTTATCGTTAGCATATTATTTTTCTTATATCAAGTCGGTAGTATGTCATTGGTGTATGATTGAAATTACTTTGGTTTGAAGGGTTTTCGGTTCTCAAAAATAGAAGTTGGGATAATTTTTTTCCTTGAAGATAAGAATGATATGAAAAGTTATTTCTCTAATCTATTGTCACTTTGAGAGCTATTCAGTCTCTGCAATAAGGAATCTTCTTGGCTTTTGTTTGCACATTTTTTGCATAAATTGATTTCCCCAAATTACGTTTATTTGGATGTTGGGTTATAAAAGGTATGGATTAGAAAATTTGGATTTTTTCTCTGATTCTATTTTTCCCTCCCACAGGCTCTGGTGTCTATAGAATAGGATCATCAGTGGAATTCGACTGGTGTGCAGTGCAGTGCCTCAGAACCCTTCGTAAATTGGGGCACCGGACAATCATGGTGAACTACAATCCGGAGACGGTGTCCACGGATTACGATATGTGCGATCGTCTGTATTTTGATGAAGTGTCCTTTGAGGTTAGTAATTTGTGATTTATTATATTTTTCTAGCGAAAGATCCATGAAGTTGAAATGTCTTTTTTTTTGGTTTATTGATAAATGCTTCATGTGAAAGGACAATAGATGATAATGTAAGTAGTATCACTTGTACTGTCACTGTCACTCTCCAGGATGAACATGACTAAATGAGTAACTCAATTCCAGGTTGTGATGGATATCTATAACTTGGAGAACCCCAAAGGCGTGATTTTGAGCATGGGAGGACAACTTCCGAACAACATTGCTCTCGATTTGCACCGTCAGAAGGCCCGCATCCTGGGCACGTCGCCAGAGTCTATTGATGGAGCTGAGAACCGGTTCAAGTTTTCGCGTATGTTGGATCGCATTGGGATCTCACAGCCTCAGTAAGTGTTTTTTTTTTTTTTGAACAAGTTTGATATTTGGCTTGTGTTTCATCTGGGAATATCTCGTGACAATTTGAGGTTTCATGGTTTTATGTTTGTGTTAACCAAGAGATTTGAGACAATCCAACAACAAACGATTCCCTAAAAAAAGGAAAGAAAAGAAAAAAAAACTATAGTTATAAAAAACTATAGTTATAAAAAACTATAGTTATAAAAAACTATAGTTATAAAAAACTATAGTTATAAAATTTAAAAAGCATAACCTATACCCAGTACTACAACCAGCAAGTCTTTATTTACCTCTGAATTGGCGTTCGAGCTCATCCTGTCCTGCCATCGCCAGGTGGAAGGAACTGACCAACCTCAAGTCAGCCCAAGCGTTCTGCGAGGAGGTGGGCTTCCCGTGCTTGGTGAGGCCGTCGTACGTGCTCTCGGGGGCGGCTATGAACGTGGCCCATTCGCCGCAGGACCTGGAGACGTATCTGAACCAGGCCGCGGCCGTTTCCAAGGAGCATCCTGTGGTGATTTCCAAGTTCATTTTGGAAGCTAAGGTAGGTGGTCTTGTTGCTTTTATCAGTTTTTTTTTTTATAGCGGTTATGTATTTGGTTGGCTGGTTTCGTGTGGCGTGTTAAAGGTTCATTAGTCTGAAATCATAATCTAGATATCAGAGCTTCATTTAATAATTTAGATTCGGCTTCCGCACAAAAAATTGCCCCCAAACATCCCACATAACCAGTCCATCTAATAATCCAGACACATCTCCCTCAAAAAAAACTTCAACAAAGACACCACCTAAACCCAATCCACTCTCTCCCCAGGAAATCGACGTGGATGCCGTGGCCGCCGACGGAGAGCTGGTGTGCATGGCCGTGAGCGAACACGTGGAGAACGCCGGGGTCCACTCGGGCGACGCCACGCTCGTCACGCCCCCGCAGGACCTCAACTCGGAGACCCTGGCCAAGATCACCTCCATCTGCGCTGCCATTGCCCGGGCGCTCGAGGTGAACGGCCCCTTCAACATGCAGCTCATTGCGAAGGTAAGGACGGTGGATTGCTGTATTGTGTTGTGGATATGGGAAATATCGGCCTTTTTACGTTTAGAATTCAGAGATGTAAATGGAGTGTATAGTAAATGCATAAAGGTTTGTTGAGTTCCAATACTCCATGATGGGTAGATCTCTTTTCACCTTTACGTTGTGGAAAATGAAGTAAGAAATATGGATTTCGTTGATTCCACATCAACACAGTTATGATATTTAACTCCATGTGCATTTGCTCTCACAGGATAATCACCTGAAAGTAATCGAGACGAACCTGAGGGTATCTCGATCTTTCCCCTTCGTCAGCAAGACCCTAGACTTCGACTTCGTGGCTTGTGCGACCAAGGTGATCGTCGGGGAGAAGGTGGCCGCCACGGATGTGTTGCGGGGCTGCGGCAGAGTCGGGGTCAAGGTGCCGCAGTTTAGCTTTTCTCGTTTGGCTGGTAAGTGTGTCGCTGCAGGAAGAATATGTAGGGAAAAAATAGTAAAAGCAAGGAATAGTAATAGAAAAAAGTAAAATCAAGGAATAGTAATAGAAAAAAAGTAAAAACAAGGTAAAAAACAGTAAAATCAAGGAATTTACATGGGTTAAAAGAATAATTTTTATGTACCTTACGACGAATATGGGAATTTGTAACCAGGATACTTTTACTTGCCATTTATGAAGAAAAAAATATTTTTGAATTATAGGTGCAGATGTGATGTTGGGCGTGGAGATGGCGTCCACAGGCGAAGTGGCTTGCTTCGGGGAGAACCGCTACGAGGCCTACTTAAAGTCCATGATTTCTACCGGCTTCGTCATTCCCCAGCGCTCCATTCTCCTCTCTATTGGTAGCTACAAGGTGGGTCGTGAGAGCTCAGAAGTACCACTGAATTAAGATAACGCCTCCGAATTCATACATGAAAGGTAATATAAGAAGAAAATATAAAATGAAAGAGAATTCAAAATTCTGCGATATTATATACATATATCCCTGGTACTTTCAGCACAAGAACGAGTTGCTTCCGGCAGTCAGGACGCTGGCACAGATGGGATACAAATTATATGCTTCTTTAGGAACAGCTGACTACTACTCAACACATGGCATACAGGTAAAGTACAGCATTAACTACAGCATGACAATTTGTATGTGGACGTGGTAAGTCGTTGTGTAAAGCGGATATATATTATATTGCATGTAATAGGACTCAGATGGAATAAATTGGAGGTACTTTGAATCAATTGATTAAATCGCTTAAAATAAATATCTTCATGCGATAAGCTTTGTACATATCTCAAAGTGAATGATATTGCATTGCAATGTTTACCGCCACAAAGTACTTTTTCAGGCACTGTAATGTGATTTAAAAAAAGAAATGTGCTATATCACTGATGATACCATTGTTTTAACGGGGGTTTAAAAGTCGGTATTACAAGGATAAGAGTTTATTTCTAATAATTTACATATATACAGATTCAAGATTTATACATTAAATCAATAACTTGTTTATATCTTTGAAGATCCATCGACGATAACTACCGCTGGTGAGCACCTTCAGAAGTAGTACTATTTGTAATGGATCTTCGAAGCTTATAAACCAAGTGCATATTAAGTTTTTTAACATCATCGGAAGATAAGTAATGCAGTTTCATTAATATATATAAAAAAGAAACGATATTCATAAGTAGGAGAAAAGACAGAGGAAAGTAAAAAACTAAAATGGATGCCATTTTAACATGGATATCATATTTGAGTAAAGGGAATTTATATACATTTTTTATTCTTTTATTGAATAGAAGAAGTTCCGCTCATTAATCATATTATGGAAGTACCAAGTTCATGAATGAAGTATAACAGATGGAGTAATAGTGACAATATGTATTTTCATAAAGTAATAGTTTCGTGATCATTCGTATCACACACTTCTATGATTTTTGTGTCACCGTAAGAGTATCATTTGATTATTATGCTTAAACATGATCTACCCAGCACGTAGATATCACTTTATACATCACTTTATTGCGGAAGTGGGAAGGGCAAGACCCCACTTCTGTCACATTACACTGAAGGGAACTCCTAGCCACAGCAGCCTTAGAGGTCCGTCGACGCCTCCTCCTCGTCCTCGTCAGAGAACACGACGATGGCCGAAGGGTCGTGGGGCGCGTTGGCGTTGTTCGTCGCCGACTGGGTCCTCTCCCTCATGAGCATTGCGTCGGACAGCGAGTCGTTGCTTTTGCTTTCCGTCACTTTCACTTTGTTAGTTTGTTGGAGTTCGTTGAGGTTGTCCACTAATCCGCTTAGATTTTTCTTGGTTAGCTTCAGGCCCGACACGGGGGAAGCTTTCATAGGGGGCGACGGCAGAGGCTGCTGCTCCTTCTTGAGCTCCCAGTTGGAGCCACGTATGTTGGGGTTGCCCAGCATGAGGTCGTGGGTGTCGGTCATGCCCCACGACGACCCCAGCATGTCCTTGACGCCTCCTCTGGAGGCCACGTTTAGCTCCTCGATCTCTCTGTGGAACACCTCGGCTTCTTGCCCGTTGCCGGTCTCCTCCATTAGCGTCGCCATGTTGCCCGCTAGCAGCAGGTACATGTACGCCTGAGGGTACGCCCGGTACTTGTTGGAGGCGCGCGCCATGCCGAAGTGCAGGCTGAGGACCTTGCCGGAGCGGAGATCTTTCACGCAGTGGATTTTGGCCTTGAGGTTTATGGTGGAGCGCCGCCTCTTCTTCCTCTGGTCGTCCTTGGAGGTGCGCTGAGCGGCGAGCTTCCGCTGCTGTCGAAGGGCGTGGAGTTGCTCCTGAAAGTTGGAAGGAGTTGGTTAAACTTGCAGGAATAAGCGTGTTCATGCATGATGTGTAAATTAAAAGTTGTGTGAATAATTTGCTTACAATGTCGAATTGGAAACTCAGACATACCTTCATGTCTTGATGTGCTCTTTCTTCTTCGGAGTCACTGTAGAGAACGTCTTCGCCTTCGTCAAGCTTTTTTATTTTTCCCTGAGAACAGACAGGATGCATCAGCCAGGTATAACAAAGGCGGAATACACTGCATAAACGGAAAACAAAAACATGAGATAAATGTGTTAATGCCAAAGGGAATTTCAAGAGAACGGATGACACCGTAGACTTTAAGAACGAGATTTGAAGATCCTCTTTACCGAAGACACGCCTTCTTCCCCCATCTCGTCAATGGCATCATCCTCTGTCAATCCCAGAAGCGCGGGATTTATCTGTCCAATGCTAAAGGACTTGGGGAGGAGAAGCTTGTACAGTTCACGTACATCGAGCATCGGGTAGAAATCCTCCTCGGTACGAATTCGCAGCATAGTGTGCATCATGTAAATTGGAAGGTTGTCTTTCATATTCTTCACTAATGCCTAGAAGTACAGAGAATGAAACGAGTCATAGTAGTTTAGTGGAAGTGGACGTATACCCATGTAATTATTCCGTGCCCAAGATGTATGTCAAGATACATGCGCGAGAAACCTCCAAGTTTCATGAGAGTGAAAGAAAGAATCTAAAATTTTCACCAAAGCCTTGTATTGTCCTCTTACCTGAACCTGTCTCAAGTAGCGCTCAGGTATGGTCTCCAGCATGTTGCACTTGTCGATGAAGTAGTGCGGAAGGTGTTCAGTGGAGAGGCAGTTGTAGAGAGTCTTAAAATAAGCCTTCAGTTTGTTGCCGAGCCTCTCCTCCTGCCAGTCCCTGAAGTTGTGCTCACACATCCAGTACAAGATGAACCGGAGATGCTGCGTCTTGAGGCCGGGGATCTCCTGCAGGTGGTCCCGCAGCAGGAACTCGACCATGAGGAGGAGGCGTATCTGGAAGGGGGAGTTTTTTGAGATGGGGGAAAGGAATAGAGGGAGGGAAGGAGAGAGAAAGAAAAAGAGAGGGAGAGGGATAATGAGAGATGGGGAAGAATCAGAGACTGAAGGAGAAGGTGAGGAAGAGGGAAGGAGAAATAGAGAAAGAGGGATGGAGGAGAAGAAAAAGATATAGAAGGAGAGTGAATGAAAAAAGGAGAGGAAGAGGGAGAAGGAGAGCGAGAGAAAGGGAGAAGAGTAAAGGAGGAGGAGCAGATGAGAAAGAGGGAGAGAGGAGAGAAAGAGGAGGGAGGAGGAGGGAAAGAAAGAAGGAAAAAATACATACAACAAGTTTAAGAAACTTAGAAGAAGACTCACCCTCATCCCCCTACACACCGAATCTTCAAATCCCCAACTTAAGTATCTCATTACAACCTCCCTCCCCCCCCCCAAAAAAAAAAAAAAAAAAAAAAAAATTAACGCCCATTCTTCGAAGCTAACCTGCGAGTGGCCAAGACTCCTCAAGAGGATCTGCTCCGCCTTGTTGAACTGAATCTGCCACTCCATCTTCATGACGATGTTCGGCTGCGATGGCTTGTAGTGGCCGATGGGGACGAGGTTGCAGCCCGTGTTGACGACTTCGTTGATGGTCGAGGACTTGGGCCATCTGAGGGGGTGGTGGTTGGGTGTCAAAGGGGGGGTTGGGTTTCAAAGGAGGGGTTGCAAAGGGGGGGTTGGGTGTGAAAGGAGGGGTTGCAAAAGGTTAGTTGTGTATGAAAGGGGTTGCAAAGGGGTAGTTTTGTGTCAAAGGAGGGTTTTTTCTAAGGCCTGTGAAGGGGTAGTTGTGTGTCAAAATAGGGGTTTAAATGGGTGGTTGTTTGTTAATTAAAGGAGGGGTTGTAAAGAGGTCGTTGTGTGTTTAAAGTAGGTGTTATTGACTGGGCTCAGGGAATCGATCTCTCGGTATCTTTATATTGTGTGTATTCATGTATACTTGGGAAGAAAGTAAGGGTATTAGCTGGTACTGTTACAGCATATTATAAAGACCTTTTTTCGTCTAAGGGAATTATTGATGCTTATGATTCTCTTTCGCGTTTAAGTCATAGCAATTAACATTTGATAACTTGCATGATTGGTGTTTATGATTATTTTGAGTCAAAAGGTAAAGAACATCTGTATTTCAGAGATGGAATTTGTTAGTGGTGATATTAATGAGAATGCGTTGCTGTAATTTGAGTTTTTAAGAGAATGTAATTTGAGAGACTGTGTTTCCGTAACTTGAGTTTTTAAAGTGAACACGCTGTCTGCTGGAGACGGGAAGTGAGACGTACCTGTAGAGGGTCTTCGTGGTTGGGTCGGCCCTTGGCTTGCGGTCCCGGAGCTTCCACTCGAAGGCACAGCGAGGCCATTCCTTATGCAGGATTGTGGGGATGAACTCGGTGTTGAACTTAGGACCTATCTGTTGGCAGGCATTGGAGAGAGATAAGCACGAGGCGGTACATCAAAGGATGTGCTTAGATGCCATGGTTGGTTCTCATGTATGTGTCATTTAGAAAGGATATTAGTGAGTTTATGTTTAAAGTGTTGATCGTGTTAGTACTGAAAAGGCAGGACACTTACCCCATCAATCATTAGTTCACTGGCAAGGATCGCGGGCATTTGCACTTGGCTGGAGTCAACTAGGTGTTCCTTCCCCATAATCTTAGCCAGGGTATCGAAATCCTCTTCAAAGCACTCCATGTACCTTTCTGAGGAGAAATAGGTCCTGAGTTCGGTGCGCGACTTGATGCCGTATGCGTCGTTTTCGGCACGCAGCCGAATCCTGCAGTTCATGAAGCAGCCTGTGTTGATCGAGGCGTGCAGCCTGACCTCCTCCTTCGGCTTCTCTACGGCTGCTGGTTCGGCTCCGTGGTCGGTGCTGTCTTCACTCGCGGAATCCTCCTGGTGTGGCCTGACTTCGCTCAGGCTGACTTTCTCACTCTGCGAGTCCTCGTCCTCCTCCTCTTCGTTACCCTCCTCGATCCCTGCCAGAATGCGCTTCAGCGCGCTGAAGTTGTCGCCGCTGCTCTGAAGTTTCCTGTGCTGCTCCGACGTGATCTTGAGGCGGTCCATGTTCGGGTTCATCTTGGGGAACACCCCGCTGGGACGCCGCTCCGTCAGCAGCCGAGGGCCGGGCTTGGGGTCGGGGGGCGCCTTCGGGGTCATGAGTCCGGTCTTGATGATGCCGTTGGGCCTCTTCGGCGGGTTCTGCTTGGAGAGCCTCCCAGTCGGGTAATTGAGGGGCAGGATACCGCTCGGACGACGCCCCATGAGGTGCGTGGGAGGCCTCATGGGTTCCTCGTCGAAGTTGTCGTCCTCCTCCGAATCCTTGTCTTCCTTTTCCTCTTCGTCCTCTCCCCCCTCTTCGATCGAGGAGACTTGCTGCAGAAAGTGCCGAGCCTCATGCCTGGTGGGGGAAAGGTCGTCCTCGTCAGGGGACACCACGGAGCTCCTTCGCAGGGGCCGCATGTCTACCACGGGGTCGGGCTTCGTCTCGTCCACAGGGGGCATGAAGGCGTAGATGTCCTCGTAGGTGTTGTTGCGAGAGACGCCCGGGATGATGTCTGCGCAGCGGAGGCGCACGTAGCCTGCCAAAGGGATGGGCCGCTGCTTTTAGACTGGCTCTTAGACTGGCTGCGAAACTGGCTGTCAGAAGGGCCGTTACGATGTCTGTCTGACTGGTTTTAGATTGGTTAATGTTGGTTAGATTGACGATAAGATTTATTGATGAGTGAGCATTAGGCTTGATGGTTCGACAGTCATACAAGTAAAATAAAGTTTAGGCAAAAGAATTACCGCCACTAAGCATGATGTGGCGGTTTGCCACATTATGCTTAGTGTTTCCCGTCTTATGCTAATGAAAATGGAAATTGGGCGTGAGCATGCATGTCATTAAAGGAAAAGAAAGGAAGAGAAAGAAAGACAGAATAAATGAATGAGAACGTGTATAATAGCTTTACTTGGTAACTAAAACGAAATTAAAAGTGGTGCGTCAGTTGGCAAACGTGTAACCGGTGAATTGATGTATCCATTCTAGACCAAGATAAGAAATCAGCTGTTGAAAGCAAAGATAACATTTTCTGTCAGAAGTGCTTAAACATTTAATTAACCATTAATCATTTAATCTAAATCTGCTTGTCACTTTTTATATTAAATTTCATCGTTTTACTATACGGAAATTGATATATTAAACACTTTATTAAATCTGTTTTTATTTCCTTGGATAATCGTCAACATTCACTGTTTATTATGACATTTTACCTTATATTTGAATGGTTAGTGCAACCACCTCTGATCATTCGTCACCAATTATAGAACATTATTAGTTATCAGTATAAATGTCATCATCAGTTTTCACCTTCGTCAGTATCAGCCTCAGGCAGCCATCAATCACCCCCCCCCCCCCCCGCTCACACAGTCTTTTTATTTTTCTGTCTCTGTATCTATCTCTTTCAATCCTCTTCTCGTTCTCTTTCTATCTTTTTCAATCCTCTTCTCTTTCTCTTTCTATTCTTTTCTCTTTCCCATTCTTTTTTTTTCTCTTATTCTGCTCTCTCTACTCTCGTTCAGTTTCTATTTCTTCTCTCTCTTTTCATCCCCTCCCTTTCACCTCCTTCCTCTCTCCTCCTCCCTCTCTCCTCTCCTTCACTCCCCCGCCATCCTCCTCTCCCCATCTCCCCTTCACCCCCCCCCCCCACCTCCACCCTCTCCTTATCCTCCACCCCACTTCTAATCTACCCCTTTTCCTCCTCCACCCACTTCTAATCTACCCCTTTTCCTCCTCCGCCATCTCTCCCCCCCCCCACTCTACCTCCCCTCTCCCCTATCCCTAGTTCCCCGCTATCCTCCTCCCCTCCCCTCCCTCTCTTTATTAAAAGTACAAAGGGCGTTAGAATCTTTTTTTTCAGTTATTTGAAAATTTGTTTGGTTTGATTTTTTATTTGTTTTGATTGTTGTCGATGTTTATTTCTTATACGCTCGTACTTCTTTTTTTTTTGCGTTCGTGTTTTGTTCTTGATTCTCATTTGTTGTTTTTTGTAGTTGGGTGTTTGTATTTGTCTTTATTTCCAGATTCTTGTGGTTGTATAGTATTGTCATTGTAATTGTCTTTGTCAATTTCTTTGTCATTGTCATAACCATTCGTATTGTCATTTTAGATCTCTTGATAACTTTGAGATCGAGAAAAAGGTTTTAATACTTTTTTCTTGCAATATTAAACGATCGTGATAATGATTGTAATAACAATCCCTGTAATGCGGAAAGATTAAAAGTATGATATGTATAAAAAGAAAGATAATACTAATGATACAAGGTTTTGAAATCGTGTTATTGAGATTTACGTAATCGAGCGCCGAAAGTGTCCCCTTTTGACACTTTTCTGATAGGGTAGAGTGATCGGTGATATGAGATGTTTTTTTTTTTTTTCTATCGCTCTCTCTCTCTCACCCTCCTCCTCTTCTGTCACTTCCCATTCTTTGTCTCTTCTCCTCCTCCTCTTTCTCGGGTTCCTTCTCTCATCTCTCCCCCCTCCTTCCCCTTCCTCTTCTTCTTCTTCTTCCTCTTCTTCCCCCCTCCTTCCCTCCCTCTCCTCCCCTTCCCCTCCCTCTCCCCCTTCCCCTTCCCTTCCCCTTCCCTCCCCCTTCCCCTCCCCCTCCCCTCCCCTCCCTCTCCCTCTCCTCTCCCTCTCCCTCCCTCTCCTCTTCCTGTCCCTGTCCCTCTCTCTCTCTCAGCCGTCTAGGTCCTAGAGAGAGTATAAAGAAAGGAATAGATAGGAAGGGAGCGAGAGGAAAATAGAGAGAACAAGAAATAAAAAGAAAAAAAGAAAAAATAAATAAAAAGAAAATAAATCGGAAAAAAATAGAAAGGGAGAATAACAAGATCGGAGGAGGATTAGAATATTGGAATAAAGATACAAAAAATGTAAAAAACGAGCGAAAGGAATAGACTTGAAAGAGGGAGAGTGGAAAGGAAACACAAGGAGAAAAATAGAGGAAGAGGAAGAATGTGAAGAATGGAAGGTAAAGAGAGAGAGAGGAGGACTGAGAGGGGGGGGGGGACGGAGAAAAGAGAGAGAGAGCCCGAAGACGAAAGTGAAATAACAAGGGAAAGTAAGAAAGGAAAAACGCTGACATAAGCCATAGAGCAAAGACATAAGCCATAAAAGAGGACGAAGAGGAAGTGGAAGAAGAATAAGAAGAGGAAGGAAAGGAAAAGAAGAAAAAGAAGAAGAAAAGAAAGAATGAAAGAAGAATTAGAAGAAAAAAAAGAATGAAAGAAGCATTAGTAGAAGAAAAAAAGAAAGAAGAATTAGAAGAAACGAAGAAAAATAAAAAGACGAAAATAAAGAAGAAAAAAAAAAAAAAAAAACTAACAAAAAAAAAACAGAACGAGAAGCGAAAAAAA